TGAAGTTGTAATTTGCTTGTTAATTTGGGAGCTAGGCATTTCTGAGATCTTCTAGTGCCATCCCCCAAAGTCTGGATGACTTCGTTCCTATGGTGGGTGGGTGCTCAGGGGCAGATAAGTCTGCCTAACTAGGGGAAGAAAGGTAATCCTGTTCCCCTTGAGATTAGGGAGGGGCAGGGAGAGAGGAAGAGAAAGAAGCATGTTCTTTTAAATAAGTTGCAGTGGCCAAGCAGCAAGGGCTACATTCAAAGCATGGAGTGGAAAGGTCTCACAGGGCAGAGCTGGGATTTGAACCCTAGGACCCCAAGTGCTCACCTTCACCACCTTCAGCACCCTGACTTCTTGTCCCAGAAACAACTTATCTTGGAAGCACTGATCCTGAAAGAACCGCTCCATTCTTTGCCAGACATCCTTCAATTCTTCCTTCCAATCCTCCTGGGGCTGAAGGCTGTGCTTCAGTAAGGCGTCCAGCCTGTCCCCAGGGGTCTCATACAGGTCCGGGGAGGGATTCATCTCTGCAGGGCTAGGATGCCCCTTGCAATATATTCTTGGTGCTCCTGCTAGCCCAAGAGCTGCACAACGTGAGGCGGAGGGGATCTGTCCTGTCGGTTTGCAGCTAGAGCTGGAAGACTTCTCCGGGCAACCCAGACTCCTCCCCCAGGGCTGCAGCGAGCCTCTTGCCACACGGGAAAACGAAACTGAGCTTTCTAAAGAAAGGAAACCGAAATTTTGCAGAGATGGAAATTTCTCTAAGGCGGTAAGGAATAATGGTTGGGATACTGGGCCAAGTGCACCACCAACCTCCCTGCAGGATCAGCCTGGGAAGTCCCCAGAGGGTCCTGCTGTGCTGGAGGAGATTCCCCCCACCAACACCCCATGCCCTACAGGGCAGAGACCCAGGTCAGGGGTGCTGCCTGCCTGGGGTGAGGGTAGGGCCTGCCTGAGCCTGGGGGGTATTTTGAGCTTCTGGGATTGCCTGAGCTATTTATTTATTTATTTGAGAGAGAATTTTTTAATATTATTATTTTTAGTTTTCAGTAGACACAACATCTTTGTTAGTATGTGGTGCTGAGGATCCAACCTGGGGCTCACGCATGCCAGGCGAGCGTGCTACCCCTTGAGCCACTCCCCAGCTCTGCCTGAGCTTTTTATTTTCCGAGGGCAAAAATGTACACAGCCTTCCTTGCTTTATTTAGATTTTTTTTTCCTTTATCTAGGTGAACCCTCGGCCCCCATAACCTATGAGAAGGAGGAGTCTTTAAGAAACCATCATCAGAGGGTGTTAAATGCTTGAGACTCGAAGATCTCTGAAATAAAGGGTTCATTGAGCTGTTACAAATACTAGCCCAAAGGAAAAGGAGAGATGATGGGGTAACTTCCCCTGCTACCAGCAACACGGCCAGATAGCCCTTGGAGAAGGTTCACTGGGTCTAAGGAGGGATTTTATAGAAGATTTTG